ATGGCAGAAATACATTGTCTTTATCCTTTTTGTAAATCTGTTATGTTGTTTTTAACGGTATACCTGCTAGTTTCCTTCATAGTTGTATCTTCTTTGTTCACTCCAATGTTCTTCTCTTTTCTTGATTTCCTTTATTTTCTGTGTCAAATGTATTTGACGTACTTTTGTACCAGGTTCTATATAAGTTATATTTCTCGCCTATTTCTCGTCTTTAGGCACTCTAGAATAACTACCTGGCAATCGCGGTCTGGTTCAACGTAAGTTCGTAGAATCACTGTTATAAAGTAAACAAATTAATTTCTCTAGAGAATCTGAAATGTTCTCTCAGTCTGTGACATATGTTTATTTATACTGAGCTGCCTAACTAATGTTGTCAGCCAACATAATCAATTACATTCAAGGTCACACCTCTAATACCGCCAATCAAAAACCAGGCATAACAGACTCACTATTACACTATCACCTCAATGATCACATAGTTCGTAATATTGTTATCGATAGTTTTAAATCTACGATAACTTGAAAATATAAAATTTCAGATCAATAAGATTACATCAGAACAGATGATAAACATATTAGTGAATTTGGTTTTTACTAGCACAGATGTTAATCTATCCAGTTGAACTATTTTAGTGCAGTTGGGAACTGACAGAGAATAATGTGTGACGTTAGCACAGCATACTTGAGCTATAGTTAATCAGTTACCCCAGTGTTCAGTATTCAGTCTTTCGTTAGAGAAGTCTATCATTAAAATGAGTCCCTTGAAGCACTCAACTACACGCTGTATATTTCGCGTAGAATGGCTTCCTCCTCTCAAACTGTCTTTTACTTGTTGCTTACTGTAAGGTATTCCAGTTTGTGCTCTGAAAACGGGTTCTACATAGTTATACATGTCCATGTGCATGTTTTCCTTTTATCTTCATGCATGAAAAACCCTTCTGAACTGCTGATCATCTCCCTACAGTTTTCCCTAAAAGTAAACAATTCTTAGTCTAATTTTTAGTGACAACGAACTGAAATTTAATTCTCTAGAGTTTACCAGAACATACTTCCTGAGTATTTCCCCGAATCTAATGGAATGATGGAAGTAGCAATTGTGGGAAAAAGTGTGAGAAAACTCTTTATTTACTCCAAAACTACCTACTGTAATTACTCTCTGGAATGTCTTTAGTTCAGCTTTTTAGGAAAGCAGCCTACGAGAAATACCAGCTCTTCTTACTATACGATAAAATTAGGAGACTTAAATCAATCAGCTTCTGTTATAAATTTATTTCAGCACAAAGGTAGAAGCTCATTTGAGGATATTACAAAACTAAATACAGTGAGACAGATCATGCATAATTCACACTTACTGAGTAACTTCTAGTCGTGGTGTTGTGAGATGATGACAACTGGAAAGACCTCAAAGCCCTTTGTCAGCAATTAGCTAATACACTGTAAAATTAAAGTCAGATATATGATATCAAGAAAGTGGTTTAAAGTCAACATCTGCAACACAATTACATCAAATTCAAACCTCTATTAAAACTAAATGTGTCATTTTGGGACAGTGGGTTATTGATTTGGGGAGATAGTTTTCAACCAATGCGTCGTGGCTTCTAACCCCCGCCCACTTACCAAGATATGGGCAGTCAGGTAGTATTGTTAGCCGTTATCCAATAGGTATGTTACACACAAACGTGTACAAGGTTGACGAGTGCATTCTGACTTCAAAATGCGCCATTATTTATAGTTTTATTTACACCTTTTGACCAGGTGACCTCATGTATTTTCGTTTTTTCATGATGCGAAAACCTGAATCGATTAAAAATGTTTCAGTTTTTATTCTGACCAGTTATTTAGGTACGTTCCGTCATTATAACTGGTTATCACTCACTTTCTAACATACACAGAAGTATCAGTTGAGTCAATTTTTCAATCAATTTTAAACCCCTTTTCTAGTAAGAACCTCAAGATCAGCACGTTTACTCTTCTGTTGTCTCAGTATAGGAAATCAACCTAATTGTAAGTCCATACATTCGGACAATAATAATCACTGGATAAACTTAACATGATTCATGATTCCCAAAATTATCCCATAGTTTTCAGAATAAACTGTTAACTCCATTATTCATAAACCTCGTTGCTTAAAGCTTATAGGTTCAGAATAATTATAAAATGTTTGTTGGATTAAGTTTATGGCCGTGCAGTGAGTAAATGAATGATATCAAGTAAGTTTCAGTTCCACATTAGAATGACTTATTTAATATAGTACACAATGATACAGCATAACTTAATAAATGAATTATACGGTATCACTGTATTTCATATCAGACAGAGTAATCTAATATGGAATTATATTCTACCACAGTGTACAAATTTTATTCTGACTTCAAACAGACTTTAAGTTCATAAAACCCCAGCAGAATTAAACTGCAAGCTTCAATCATGTAGAATTCGCCCTTTTTTTATTATTCAGTAGGGTACAAGTAACTCATTTTATCGCCTGAACATATGTATGTGTTTCGGGTGTGAGACTGACCCTACTGCTAAGCTAATCGTCCTTCGAATCTCTATTACCTACACTGTCACAACTGGATGCTTGCTAACGTTCTTTCTTTTCTCTTTGGTATCATCATATCATGTTGATAGTTTATGAGGTCTCACTTAATAATCTTTTTATATATTCCCATCACTAATTAAAGTGAGTATTTTATACCAACTCAAATCTGCAGCATTCGTTTCGAGTTAAGTTTTTCTCCAGCATTCAAAGCGGTATTTTATTGATTATAGTAAATAAAAAATGTTTACTCAGATTGATGGTTCACATACCTGGCTACACGAAGATTATTTTATTGATACTGTGTGATGATTGAAGGTGAAATGAAAATCTGGACGGCGACAGGAGTAGAACTAGCGACTACCAGGTTTCCAGCCCAGGGCTTTACCAACTGACTAACGAAACCCCGCTGCTGACCAGATTTTTACTTCACTTCAATCACCAAGGATTTTGCCTGATTGACATGTAAATCCTGAAACCCTGCAACTGCCTAAATATTAATTTCGCCTTCAAACATCAGCCAGCATCAATACAAGTCTACCAAACTTCAGCTATCTTAGATAGTTAAACTGATTATTATTTCCGCTATTTATATTTGTTTCCTACCGTACGCTAATTCTAGAATCCTCGAAGTACATTCTCATTATTATCTAGTTTGAAAATGAGTAAGCGAACAATCAAATACTATAGGCTTTATCAGGGATTTAATGAAAACTATGTTAATCCCAAAAAATCGTGGTCTTTTGTAAAATTTCAAGGTTAAGTTCAAGAAACATACAATTGATATTTCAACCACCATATGATACACAAGAGAAAATATTAAATTTTTTTCTACTTTTTAAGAAAATTGCAATGCGAGAACAGAAAGACAGAGGTTAATGACCAAACACTTATGTCCATACAATAAAATCACATATCAGTAGAAAAAATTAGGAATATTCAATTGTTAAACAGAGACAAATTTACTTTACAGCCTAATTATTGTACTTGGATGACCTTAATAAAATAGTTTTCATGTAGCAAATGATATACAAGTACTTGAAGTACACTTGAACGCATATCAACAACACTATGCTTTGCTTCACTAGTTATTTGATTATTTCATTAAAAATTGTTAAATAAGTTGCTCAAATTGTAAGTATTTCAAGAAATCAGTACTTGCTTTTTGTTCTGATGGCACGGAGGAAAGAAAGAGGGGATAGTTTTAATGATAAAGTAATATCAATCAATAAATAGGTAAATAAATACGAAAACAGTATTTCCTGACTTCTGTATCATGACACCAGAGGAGAATTCTATGTTCACCATATTCTCTGAGATGAAATTGCAGGAAATGAAAATTTTGTAAAGCATATTTTTTCCGTAAACACCAAGGTTAAAATCTACTGCTCATAAGTCACCATACTCGTTACGCTACAGATTAATTCTCGGCCCCGGGTTCAAGACAGTGAGAACGACATAACTCACTGAGAGTCAAGTACATCCAGCTGACGAATCTCAAATAGGACTAATAGTGCGTCTTGGATTCTACTGCTAACCGCTATCCATCATCACTACCAAAGTGAAACAACAAACAATATCGAGGAATCCGCACAGGAGCTGATAAATCAATTCGGTCCAGTCAGCGACAGAGAATTAGAAGCAGTAACATCAAACTTAAGTTTTTTTGCATGCTGGACTATCATTAATAACTTCCTGACTTACTGACTGGTTTGCTATTGAGGTTTTGTGTCAATTTTAACCACTCTAAACTATAATATTTAACATAGCTCTATAGGATCGCTGATTTTCCCATTATTGTAACACGATGTTCCTACCTCTTGAGTTACCCATGAAGTATCATTTACGTTTACAAATAGAATCAGCCCACCAGAAATCAATTTATGACGCAGTACATCACGATCCCCAATCTCCTGTTTGGTGATCAAGTTGTGAACTTGATCATAAAATTTGGCAATTGCTTATGACTAGACCATATCGCATTAGTTATTATTAAATGACTAATCAGCATGCAAACTACAGCTGCTTTACTGCTCAATTACATGATTTTGTATTCAAACAGAATAGATTTGTAATCTAAACACCAACTTCTGAGCACATACTACACGTATTCGACGATACTTAAAAAACGATTTCGTCAGGAAATGGGGTAGTTTTAAAAAAAGGAAGTGGATTTATCATAGAGGGATTCTGAGATGTCCGGTTAGTGAAATCACAACTTGATAGAAAAGTGCCACTTTCACAAAAATGATGCCTGATCAACAGTCCTAAGGTGAGAAGAAACGTTTTTTTGTAAAACTTTCAGATTTTCGAAGTTATTATGATTGGTGTTAGGTTGTTGGGTAAAACTATCTATAAATTAACCATTTTAATAGTAACACCCAATTGAAAATATAGAAATTTCGCATTGATAAATATGAAATATTAGCCAGAATAACAATTTGAAAACACTAACTCTTACCATCCGAAATCTTTTCCCACTACACACTGCCATATACCACCGAACTGTTTATCAAATTCCTTTTTAATATACTTGGCTATTTCCTTATCCTCTTTGAAGTGTTCACATGCTGCAGCACAACAATCAACAGCTATACTCTGCATAGATTTAGGCATATCAGTTGACTTAATTCTCGCACTTTTATAATCAGTCATAGTTTCCAGTGCTAACTGTGCTTCCCTCCTTCTATGTGAATCTAGTATCAGTGAGTTTTAGCCGACTACTTCAAGCTTCTTCCAAAAGTAACCGTGTAGGTGAATGGATAGACAGACATACTGACAGATGGACAAACAGAATCATATCACATATAGTGTGTATGTATGTACGTATATAACTGTTTATTTAGAAGGAACGACAACACTGATTTGTCAGTTCACTAATTCGTTTTAGTACCTTTACAGGTACTATGAAGCATAGTGATTAACTAATTCTAGAACTTTTCTTCAACAAATCAGCTTTAAGCTCTGTTTATTTTTCTTGAATAATTAAGGTTATAAGAGGAGTGAAATAGTTTATTGACCAAGCAACACCTCTATTCATACTTAAAGATTAGTTAAGTATACAATTGTATGCGTTATGTCAGAAGACAAATGATATTTGACTAAATCAACTAACCTAGAACTGTTGATTAAACTATTTTAGTAGAACTGACAAACAGATTCAAAAATCACCAGTTTTATTGTTATGATTAAATTCGTAGTCATGCATAATTAGGACAAGTAAGTGCACAGTGTGACTAAAAATAATAAAATAGTACACATAATTGATTTTGAAGTTCCAAGCATCAAAAGAGAACACGTTTCTTCATATATTGTCATTAAATAAAATTTGTTCAATTATATTTCAAATAAAGCAGTTAATTAATAATTAACTAATTTCTGATGAACGTTGAAAGGCTACTGTTTGTTATAATCATTTTCAGTAATATCTGTGCACAATTAAGTTATTAAACATCAATGAGTTCAACTCTCAGTTTTTACCTGAAGATGAAAACTTCAATTTTTTGAATTGAAATTGGATTAATTTTAAAATAGTCTGTATAAAGAAATGGTGTCAAACAGATGACTGTAAGAAACCACGGAACACTGAATAGCTCTTTTTTTCCATGTAAGAACTACTCAGCCTTCGTCCTGCAACTCGACACAAATTTGGGCTCACAACTTTAGGGTGACCTCCGCTTTCTTAGGCGGGTAGACGTTAACTAACTATGGAGCAAAAGTCGGCTGAACTGTATTTTGGAGCGTTCTACCAAATGTCATAAGCAACTAAAAAGGCTGCGGATAGGCTTACCGTCCACTCCACAGACCAGCCTAATGAAACCAGGTTCATTATTGGTGGTAGCTCACATGAACTGAACTAGCTTGTAAGTAATGCCAGATATAACTGCGGTTCCTACCTCACCCGTGCGTTCTGACCAACAAGGATCATAAATGGTACGATAGACCAAGCATCATCTACATAATGACCACTAGGCTTTGTTATATAATTGCTCATCAGCTCTTAAATGACAGACAAATTGAGAAATCAGCTTAAGAGTTGATAAAAAAAGTGCATCGCTCCACGTTGTCACAATGCATAGAAGTATACAAGGAAGAAGTGCATACAAAATGTGGTACTGAAATAAACAAATAAATACGGGAATGTCAATAAAATGTTCAAAACTATGAAGATGACAAAGAAATTATACACTAATGACCTACTGACTTGATTTCAGACATACTACCATTAGTCTCCAAAAAGTGATTCTTATCATCTCGGGGACCATAGGAATGCAGTTTACACTGACATGTGCAACACATGTTCAAGCCACCTCACTCAGGGGAGGTTCCCAACCTCATCAAGAACTACCACAAAACCGATCCCCCTCAAAAAACAGTCAAAACTAAAATACTCTACAGTACTTATTAACAACTTGCTCCAAGATTAAATTTTCTGAAGTACTAGTGAGAAACAGTTATCCATGGAGCTATTCAAGTCGAACGTGAGGAAAAATACTTAATGAAGGAATTGGACGATGTTCATGTTATGTCGCGAATAGACGGATACAATGAAATGTGGACCAACGGATTAAGACCGAGTGGCTGAAGGTCTTGAGTTCCACCCCTGGCGGGGTCACGGGTGCACACTGCTGGAGTGTTTCATACTAGGACGAAACATCTGTTCAGTGCTCCCAGGTTCTCCAACTAACACCAGTTTGTGATGAATACTGCACTGAAACTAATCAGTCCTCAAACACAGCTGTCTTGTCTAGAGAATTGCACCTAACTTCGACATTGTTCACAAGCTTATTACACTATATATGAGCTATGCTGCTGAAAGAATTGTAGTCTAAGATATATAACCACTTCACAACTACTTTCACCGGCCAGGTCCTACAGCCGTTTTACAGGACAAAGTGGACTTCAGCACAGAACATTCATCCTTTTGTTGCTGATATACAAGATATTGAACATCATCTGAATGTGTTTTTGAGATGGCGAAACTTCAAGTGGAATTACGAAAACAAGTTAAGCTACATACAGATAGAGGAACACAATCAATCAGAACTTCACTAGAAGATTATCTACTAAGTTGCTAAATTTTGTAAAAGTGAAGAAGGAAGAAACCCACAATTGAAAGAAACAAAATAAAGAATATCACAGATGACGAGAAAAAGCGTAGACTAATAAGGTGTTCAAAATTTACAGGAAAGCTCCCATACCTCCTATACGGTCAGTGAATTCCATATAAAGTCTCCGTTATCTTTACGTACATACAATACGGTGGTCTGTTTAGACCTTGGGCTACTGCAGATTCCCTTCACAATATATTTCATTAAGTTTTCCCCTTTCGATTTGCTTTAATCTTTTAAATATGTGATGTGCTCTCTCACATTTTTAAAATGATTTCAAACTTCAGTTCTTCAAACTAAAAACAAAACAGAAAGAAAAAGTTAAGCCGGTAAGAGATAGGCTTATAAACGCACAGAAGTGTAGTATATTACAATTCCTTGAATAACTGTGTCGAATTGCTGATTTTGGTACTCGTCGAATAAACTACCACCACCAAAATTACGCGCAACACTCGATTCATTCACCAATCCAAACTAAACGCAAATGTAATACCAGGTGCTTGTTTCACAATGTGTTTGCTATTACTGTTATTATTAACATTATTCAAATGCGATGATTATTGTGCTTGGAAATATTGTACCCGAAATAAATTTGTTGAACTGTTACATGCTGAGAATTCCATACTTTATCACACATGTTGTTTGAAATGGTTATTATTATTATTATTAAGTGCGTAAACATTCGCGAAAGGAGATAATTTACTAAGAAGTTCTCGTTTTGTTTATAACCTACCCTATTTAGTATCTTGTGCTTCATAAGGCTTTAAAATTCCTGAGTATTTCCACATCCAACTCCTCTGAATAATTTTCTGTTCTTAGTCTGCCGATTTCATATTCATATACTCATAAAAGCTGTCATGCAAGTTACAAATCTCAGTTATCAAAAAGTAGATTCCCATTCTTGAGACGTTCTTTCCTCACTATGTATGGAGTTAATAAAACATTGCGAAGGTTAAGTATCTGTTGCCTGCAAACTGATACTCAACTATTTTGCTATTTCTTTCCGTAATTACAACTCGGAATGCAAAAGCGGACGTAAACACAGAAACTAGATTCACTTTGTGGTGATATAACTTGCCACGCTCCATATCCCTACGTCAAAGGGGCTGTTAACGACACGAAAACAAACAAATGAAGATGATATAAGAAGCGATAAAAAGCCATAAGAAGAAGAGAAAAGAAAAATAAGGCGTGTATAAATTCTCACTAATCCAGCCGATTCTAATCCATATCACACGAATTCGACAATCGTCAGTTTCAGTTGAATTCAGAACCAAAGCCAAAAAGCTAACATTTCATTACATACATTAGACGAACATTGAGTGACTTCAAGAATAAGTGCCTTATCTTCGGTTGGCCACTTTTAGCTTTCTCTTCCAAATCAACCTAACTCCTTCCTACTAACATTTCGCATTGGCGGAAACATTGTAGTGAACGCTGCTGATCAGAATGGTTATAAGTAGTATATGTTGAGAGGGCGGCAGAAATCAGGGAATTACCAACAATGGGTAAAGATTCTGCCCAGAGGAATGCAAGAGGCAATGTGAGCGTATGAAGAGTAAATCAAGAGAGAAGCAGGAGAGGAAACGAAGCACATTGTGCGAATGACTGTCATAGTGGAAAGTCTACAATATTTGATGACTACTGTACAAGATGTCAATGATCAGCATTCCTTCCTGAGTCTCAGTCTTGTCGTTTCCTACATCAGCTCATTGTGTAACAGATGTCCCAGCTGCATCAGTCAATGGAGGCTCACAATTGCATTAACTAATTCACTTATTTTACAGAAAACGATGTGTAACACATACATTGTTCATTTGGTTATACTACAGCTATGCTACAGGAAAAATAGTAGCCCTCGCAAACTGTTCACTTTAATGCCTACATTTAACTGTAAAAAGCGCTTGAGCATATCACTGGTGCCCTAAGTGTCGTCAATCGAACCTATTATATCCATGTCAAAAATTCACCAACCACCAAAACAAGTAGGAGCTGGTGTGAATTCCTATGTACAATACGAATGTACATGAAAAGGTCAATATGCTCAGTCAGTAACTTCAGCTTACAATTATGAATGGCGAAACTGAGGTACAAGCAAAACTCTGCATAGATTTGCAAGCTCAGAAACTCTCTTGACCTGAAAGAGGCATTTAACTCTGTAGACAGTGAGGTGTTGTCCTAATATCTTACTATGAAGGGATTACCAAGCAAATATATAATGCTAATCACAGCCCTCTGCTCGAACTTACAAAGCCGTGTAAAGGCTTATGGAGAGTTGTAATCAGAAGTGACGACAACCAATGCTCTCCACCAGGATACCCACTATCACCGTGCCCATTTAGCTTCATCATAGACATATTAATTGACATAATCCTAGGTACCTCTTACTTCATATGGATTGATTTGCTCCCTGGAGGTCATCTAGTTGACTTCGAGTATGCAGACGATACTGTCCTGCTAGATGAAGCCGCTGACAAAATGCACTGTCATGTGAGCACGTTGAGCGAAAATCAGAGTATGTTTGGCATGAGTTTCACTGGCATCTGTTAAATACAAGATGATGCTCCTAACTAGCCTGCTACAAGTACTCCCAGTTCAATAATAGGGAGTGAAGTGATGGAATGTATCGACCACTTCACTTACATGGGAAGTTTCATCAGCCCCAACGAGTTGATTGCTAACGAAATCTCAGCTGGGGTACAGAAGGCCCGTTTAGCACTTACCAACTTGCGTCATATTTGGTGCCGACCAGTAAGATATCCGACTATCTATTAGAGGACGAGTATACTGCGCTACAGTCCGTTCTGTCTTGTTATACGGCTATGAGGCGTGGTCGTTGAAAGTAGAAGACATGAAGCAGTTACAGGTATTTAGTCGTACGTGTCTTCATAGCATTGTTCGGGTTTGGTGGAATCACCGTGTGAGAAATGTTGAAGTCAGGCGAAGGGGACTAGACAAGACACTCAAGTCAATTGATGAGGTTGTGAACCTTAGTCGATTGAGATGTCTTGGACATGTGTTGTGCACGCCAAGCCACTGTCTACCTCGATGTGCGATGCTAGGGGAAGTTGGATTAGGTTGGAAGAGGGTTCAGAGTAGCCGGCCAGACCAATACCTGGCATCAGTCGATGAAGTCTCTTGATGTTGGTCTGAGCGATGTGTGATGTAGACTATCTGGTTGGATTCCCCGAGACGAAAGGAACGGGTGGCTGAAGTCTCCTGGTGATAAGGCTGAAAATCGATCACAAAAGCGCAAACGTATTGGCTCCTTAACTTGAATACTGAGACTACTCTAATGTTCAAATTGTTTATTCTCTCACACTACTTTATTTTCTTTGATATCACTCCTTTTGTGGCCACCTGTTCTTTGTGTACTACTGTGGTGTAGCAATTTGAATCGGTGCACCTGGGTGAGAGGGTGTACGTTGATTTTGTCAGTCAGTGCCTATAACCTAATACTAATCTGTTGTAAATCAGAATTATTTCAGACAAATGCAGAAAACTTCATAAGGAAGATTAATGAGTGCCAAAAAAATATCTACTATATCACGATCTATGTGATAAAACCATTTAAAATATGATTAAATCAGATTGCAGAAAGGCTAATTTTACAATACTTAAGTTGTTGAATAAGATATTGTTTACACTGGTTTCTAAAACAAGCTCCAATCTAATATCACAAAAAGTAAAGACTACGACCATAACTGTAAAAACCTACAGAAATAAAACATAAAACTAATAACAAGAGAATTATTAAATACATAAGAGACAGAATGTTCGACACGGTAAGAAATAAATGACCATTCAATTACAGGTAAGATGCGAAAACAATAACTACAACTAATGGCTTTTAGTTTGGACAGATGACGAAATTCTGAATTCCAAGAATCTTTGTCGAACAGAGTAACGTTGTCCGTAAGCATCTCAGACTTGCCATATCGATACTTCTTTAATTAGTTTGAAATAGAAGTAGTTATCTCCAAAAAAACGCTTCCAGAAATCTTAGCGAACCTGGTAGATGAAAAAAAACTAATGGATACCATTTGTAGCAGACAACCAAATTAAAAGCCTAATTTAGGATGGTCCTACAGATCAGTAGACAACTGCCTAAATGTGAATGAACTGGGTTATTTGTAATCTACTGTGTAAAAAAATGGTAAAATCTGCGGACCAAGTGATGTAAGAATCCATCAGTTGACTTCATAATTTGATGATCACAGTAACCTAGTAAAAAAATGTTAAGCCACTTAATGTGCCTACTTAAAGTCCTGCTAGTCATTAGACGAAGAAATCACAAACTTGAAAGTATGAAGTCTCTGGCCACCCGTAAGACATGTTTCTGCCCTACTCAGCTTTCACAGCCTTCTAATACTCTCGATTATTACTTCACTTTATGTGGTCTCTTATGCCAAAAGTCACTGCTCATTAACGAATTCTCAGGTTCACGATAACTACGGGAACTAAAGTGCTTTATGAACATTACCATGGATCCTTTGCCCCATCAGTTTTCAATAACAATAGTAATCCCAATTCTCTTTGTTACCAGCTGTTTTAGATGTCCGTCCACTAAATGAAAGCATAAGGTGTTGGCTTCACGAAAAATCTAAACCTTTGCTGTACATATACACTGAAAGGTTACTATTAACCTATGAATATCCGTCATCCACTATCTCGGCAACCAGTTAGACTAACATAAGGGGGATATGATAGTCCAGAACTACTGAAATTGCTCAGAATCATTCAAAGTCGTGCAGATTAACTCATTATTTATTTTCATCTTAATCACTGTCATATTTTGTTGCTTAATTTATCCGCATCCCTTTTTGTTTTCAACGACTTTTGACATCATTATTTTAATATATTCATACTTCCTTTGATTTACTTCTACTTTGATGTTCTGATGTGGCAACTTGAACCAATAATCCCACGTCATAAATTGATTATTGTCTGCCTGTTTTAAAATTGATATAATTGGTAAATTAATCAGGATCGAAGTATGAGTAAAATCATTTTTGAGGCTTGGAACAGTTTGCGAGTGTATTGGACGCTGAATAAGTGAGTAGTCTTCAGATAATTGCAATGTGGCTATCAAATACTGCTGATTAGGATGAAATGTTTCCAGCTACTCTCATGTCACTTTGTAGTCGACGCTTACTACCCTATGAATAATAGGTACATAAATATAGCATTAAACCGCTGAAAGTAAGTGGATAAGGCATTGTAAAATCATTGGGATTTATTGTACTACATGAAATACTTAAAATAACGAGAATAGAATTTTATGCTAAACAACAGAACCTGGTTCATGATCTGTATCAGATAATACCAATTGTAAATGTGGAACATCACCAAAGTTAGAAACTGTCGTTAAAAGTTGACGGAAGTCAGGAATAAATCTATCTTTGAAAAATCCTCTCTCAGTTACTGAATGTCCGGCCAAAATTACAGAAATACCACGGGAAACAGCTTCGAGGCGATCATGATGAGATAATTCTCCAGTTAAGAATAGGTCCGCAGTAAATGCAAGGGGTGTTTGGCATAGAAGAGAACCACCAGAACCAGCACAAACAGCAACTGTTTGGATAAGATCGTCTATAAAAAATCAGAGAATGCAAAAATACTACCAGTAACTTTATGAAATGTAGTCAAATACTGAAAAACTATTCAGAAATCAACTGAATATTGACTCAGAACTTACTCATAAAACTAAGAGATCGGGTGGTGAAATAATATTAGGCATACAGTTGTGCCTGACCTTCACAGTTTTCAAGTTTCAGGACAAAATATATGAAAAAAACAGGAGTAGAAATGGGATCACCAATATCTCAAATTGTAGCAAATATATTTATTGATAGCTGGCTTCACGAACCTTTGATCCTACACCTAAGGTATGATGGCAATGTGTGGATGACACATTTACGGTGTTGAAATCGGAGCATATCGATAGTTTCCTCGCATATAAACTCAGTAGTGAAAATGAACAAGGAGAAATAGCTATAATGGGTAAGAAGAGATGGTGGCATAGACATTAACGTCTACAGGAAACCGACAAATTCTAACAGGTATCTAGACTTCAAGTAATCTCATCCGATGTAAGTTAAACTAGAAAACTCCCTAGTCAGTGCAATGACTTAAATATGGAAGTGAAACACAAAAAACGTTACTAATTAACAATAACTCCATACGGTTTATAAAAAAAGTTGTCCAAATATATTAGAAACGAAATAGTAACAGTAATAACGACAACATGAGTAGAAAGTTCACAGCCTCCATTGTGTTACCCTATAAGGAAGCTACATCAAAAACTTTACGTAGGATCTTCAACAAAGCTGGGATTAGGTTGGGACTTAAACCATCAAATTCACTCAGAGATAAGCTTTGTCGGTTTGAAGATCCGATAGAACCAATTAAGCAAAATAATCTAATCTATCAAATTCCATGCAGTGACTGCGAGGTCAAACTAACCGGTCGCGGTCAGTTAGAATAGTAGAACATATGAATTTAGCCAGATATAGAATGACAGACCAAAATAAGTCCAATAATCTAGAAGAAAACTCGGCTATTGCAATGCATGCATTAACACACAACTACACAATAGGGTGGGATAAAACCACTGTACTTAAGTCAGCCCAATATAATTAGGTAGAGAGAGAGAGAGAGATTGATTACTGGATCTTTGTTCATCGGATCAACACCCAGCACATGCAACAAAAACGACCCAACAATTATACCAGAGATGTAGAAAATTTTACTACCAATAAAAACAAATAATATTAGGTGACAGAACTATAAAAAGTATGATTACATTGATATGATTATGCACAATAATTTATGCTCGAAACGTCATCAAGTAAATAATACTGTATCATTGTGTTGTAAATCAAGTAAACAAATGTAATATAGAATGGCGAGTGTCTAAACAAAAGTTCACACCAAAACATTACCAATTTAAGGTAGGTATCCCACTGACAACTTAGAGATCTGATCATTTTTAAGGGTAGATATGCAAAAAAGTTATCTTTAGACACTTAAATGTAACAGTTGGGTGACTGTCTTATTTTCATTGACTAATGGAATTAAAATAATTACTTACGGGACTGGTACCAATCACAGTTGGTAAAATAATGTACACTTCACAGCTATAAGTAAAAGACATTAGAGATGATTTTCAACCGTTTTTATCCACGATTTGCCCTTTTCCTGCCAAACTCCAACTAACATAAAAACGTGCAACCTTACAATACCTTATCACATGAACCAATCACAGAAAAGAATGCCTAAAATGAATGTTCAATTATAAACGGATGACAGTTTTCATGACTCTATCTTTTAGAATATCACTGTCATAGGTTTGAAACATAAAAGCACTTCTGTTATGCACTGTTCACCAAAAAGCGAACTTGTAAACATTCCAAAAGAAAAACCAAGAATGTTTGCAGTACCTTTTTTATACTTTCATCTTTATGCTACTTGTTATAAACGAGTAGCATTATCACGTAGGTTTCACCCGGTTCTCTCACAGGCAACTGTGTACGAAGTTTCGTTCTTGCATATTCTGTTTAGTATATTCATGTTTCTGTGCATTAGCTTTTCTTATCCCTTTACGAGTGTACTTTACGCGCTTCAGTTTGCTTCATACATATCAGATAGTTTCCTGGACCTTTATTCACCTGAATTGCTTCTCCTTATCCTGGGGCATTCGCGCGCTCTTCATTCTCAGCTGCGACTTCACACAATCACTTAGTGTTTATGTGGTTCATTAGCGCACTTCGGGACATTGTATTTGACGACACAGCCAAAACTTAGGTATCTCAGGATCAGATTCCTGCATTATTACTATTACTTGTCCCTTGGGTTCCTAGTGGAACATAGGACTTCACTAGCACGTCGCCATTGAACTCCGTTCTCTGCGGTCTTTCCAACTTGGCTCCACCACTGCCCACAAGCTTTCATTTCTTTCTCACATCATCTCCTCCATGTCCCCTCCCACCCCGCCCCCCGGACGACCAACTCGTCGCTTCCCATTCGCGTTCCACTCTACGGCCTGACCTGGCGCATGATATCCCCAGTCGGCATTCTCCTCAGAGTATGCCCAATCCACTTCCACTTTCTTCTTCTGAATATTGGTTGAGCGATAGCTTCTTCGTTGGTTCGTCACCAGTCAGAGTTCCTCCTTGCTTATTCTTATTATTCTGGCCATCTGACATTCAGTATCGAGCAAGCGTAGGCAGCTGTTGATAAATGTTGGTAGTTTGTTGGAAGTGCTTTTCGTGACATGCAAAGTCTCTGAACCACCACACAGAAACACTGACTTACTTGACTGAATTAGTGTTGAAAATCCGGATCATGTTCACGCTTTATGCTGAGTGCAGAAGATCTCCACACTGGTTTCACATTAATGAAAGCCTGTCTTGCTGTCTTTCCGATCCTGGCTGCTTTGACGTCCTTGTCTGTGCCTGTGCAGCCTGTAGTTGAAACGATGTTGCATAGCTAGTTAGGTAGGTAGGTGAAAGAGACTACTTCCTTTGGGTTTCTCCCGTTCATGGTGATTAGTGCTTGTTGTTGTTGGTTGGGTATCTTCGTCACCTCCGTCTTCTCTACGTTCACTTGAAGCCAGTCCCATCTTCGCTGCCTCACCTCTCCTGTCAACTTGTTAATTTTCGCCTGTAGATTTCCGAGTTTGTGCGACATTAGACACAAATAGTCATCGACGAAATCAAAATCTTCTAGGTTCTTTTCATCGATCCAGCCAGCGTATGCCCACCTCGCTCCTCACAGTTGTCTGCTGCATGATCTGGTCTAGTCCAGTCGACCACAATCAGGAAGATCATCGGTCATGGTAGGCAACCTTGTCTAACTCCTTCCTGTCTTCACTTCAAAGGCGTCACTGAGCTTCTCATTGTGGATCACTTGGCATGTAGCGTCTTCATATAGTTGTTGAATGAGGCTGATAGAAACCGGTGGCACTCCGTAGTGTTGAGGCAGCTGGCTGTTAAATTACTTATCGGTCGACGCTATCGAATGCCTTTTCAAAGTCAATAAAGTTGAGGCAGAGAGTTGACTGTCATTCTATGCTCTGTTCTATGATGATGCGTAGTGTAGCGTTGCAATTTGATCCACACATGACTTGTTCTTCCTGAAGCCAACCTGCTCCTGTTGTAATTTTGAATCTAGAGCATCTTTTAGTCTCTCTAGGATGATGCTGGTTAATGTTTTGCTTGGGCACGATTCCACGCCAGTTCTTGCAAAGACTTAGGTCTTCCTTCTTTGGAAGCCCGACAAGGTAGTCCTACTTTCAATCAATCTGAAGGTACCTTTCCTTCCTTCCCTTCAAACCTTCTGCAATGGTGGTATGAGCATGTCCGCTGTTGTCTGTGTCTGTTTCAGTGCTTCTGGGGGAATTTCATCTAGTCCTGCTGCTTTGCCGGGTTTCAGAAGCATTATGGCGTTCAGGACTTCACTTCTGCCTTTGCCGGAGGGCTTGTGTTTACTGGTAGTTCTGTGGCTGGGAAACTGGTGGTATTTCTGAACGAGTTGCAGGTGGTGGAGATGATCGACTTTAGAGTTTTTGTAAGTGGTCAGCCCATTGTTCCCTTTGTTCCTCCTCTTTGGTAACTAGGTTTTCTTTATTATCTTACACTGGTTTCATCTGCGTTGATCTCTACCCTCCCGCATAGTAAGCTGGTTATTTGATATGATGTTATCAGGTTTCTCCTACCTGAAGCCTGTTCTATTTCACATGCCAATGTGTCGTGGAAGTGTCTTTTGTCTTTGAGCGTACTCTTCTTAACTTCTTTGTAGTGTTTTGTACGTTGTGTCCAGTTCTTTTTTTCGTTGTTCATCCTTGCACTGGTTCATCTTCTGCTTCACCATCTTCCTCTCCCTTCTCTATCAGCTTCCATATGTCCGTCGAGATCCATTTCTTGTCTTGCTTCTTCTTTTGCCTTTCTATTAGTTATTCAGGTTTCCCTCCACGTCTTTTTCAAAGAGTTCCAGTGTTCTTCCACGAAGGTTTCTTCAGGGATGTTGCCTAATGTCTCCCATTATTTCCTGATGACTGACGTGAAGATGTCCTTTATAGTTTCGCCATTCAGTTTCTGTTGTGGGTGTTGAACTTGAACGGTAGCCAAACACCAACTTCTTTGAATTGAAGGCTTTCGACTTTATTTTGAGGGCATGTTCCTTGCACCAGATAATGAGTGGTATGAACCTACATCTTCTCCTCTTCTTGATCTTGTGTCCAGTAGGCTGCGTCTACACTTTCTTGGGATTGAGATGAAGTCGATCTGATTTTTAGTGTGTTGATCTGGTGGAATCAAATCCATGTCGCTCGTTTTGTGAATATCCTTGTGCTGCACACACTGCCTCCAATCATCAAATCGTTGAATGCGCAGAAGTCTGCAAACAGTTCTCCGTTCTCATTCATTTCACCGAGTGCTTCTCGACCCATGGTCAATTCGCTTTCTGTGTTGTCCGCTCCTAATTTGACACTTATGTCACCCATTAGAATTTTGATGTAGCCAACTAGAGTCTTGTCCATTACTAATTGAAGTTGTCTGTAAAATTCCCACTTCTTCTCTTCATCTGCATTA